CCCCGCCCCCGGCACCGGGCCCTGGATGGACCCCGCTCAGCTCACGAGGGGCAGCCGCCGCCGGGCCCGGGCCTCCCTCCCCGCTACGGCCTCCGGGCCTGGGCTCCCCTCTTCTCCCCTGGAGGCGGAGGGGGCTGGGGGCGCGGCCCGGCCAGGCCCGCCGAAGGGGTCCCGCGGGGCTGAACCCCTCAGCCGTGGCCTCCCGGTTAAAACTCCCCAAACAAGCCCCCGGGGGGGAGGCGCCGCTCCGCGCGCAGCGGGCGGGGTGGGTTGAGGGCCCTTAGAGCCGGGCGGTGTTCAGCGGGGCGCGGGGAATGGCCAGGAGGATCATGTCTGCTTCGGCCCATGTTCCCCGCGAGGACTCTGCCTCGAGCCTGTGAATCACCTTGAGCAGCGGAGTGTCTTTCAGAGGGGCAGCCCGGCTGCATGGGAAGGCATCCAGCAAGGCATCTTAAGTCAGTCATTCCAGAGGTAACATTGTGCATGCTCTTTCTGCTGTTGTTTTGTCTCGCTTCAGCTTCCAGCCCCTGGACCTTCTTATTTTTTTCAGTTAAATAAAATTACACGCCATAAAGTAAATTAAGTAGTCATATAGCACTGGAACATTCCCTGGTAGGGGCTTTGACGCCACATTCAAATTGCCTCTTAATTTGCTGTTTGATAAAACAAATAGATACATCTTTTTACATTATCTCATTGGATAAATGTTTGGCAGACCTCGAGTTGTTCTTGTACCTCTTGTCTGAACACTTCCTTATTTGTCAACGTCTTTTTCACAGATGGGCACCGGAATTGAACACATGTATCTTGCTATTGCTGTATGTAGAGGTGGCAGTACATCCTCCTTGTCCCATCTGATATTCTTCTGCATAAACTTCCAAAGATCACATCACTCTGCAATAAAGTATTGCATTGGAAAATTATATTCACTTGTTTATCCCCCATGATCCCAAAGTCTTTACATAGCGAGTACATTCAAAGGTGCAGTCTCCCATCTTGTAAGTGTGGCCTATTGGTCTATGACCATGCATCTGATTTTATTAAAATGTGTGAATGTGTTTTGTTCAACTGAGCCCATATTCCCAAGCAGTCCAGGTCAGCCTGTATAATTGAACCTGTTGTCATCATTATTCACCATTTTTTGTGTCATCTGCAAACTTTCTCAGGAATTATTTTATATTTTTCTAGGCCATTGATAAAAAATTTGAATAGCTTTGGACCAAGTACAAATCCCTTCAGGACCCCATTAATAACACCTCCAGTGGATTATGAGACTTTATTTATAATTGCTTTTTTGCAATCTATATGCTAATGCTAGCCAGTTTAAATCCTTTAATAGGGGCTACACAGATTTTGTATAGTGCTAATTTTTGTTATCAGAATGTCATGCAGAACTAAATGAAATGCCTTGTAGAAAGAATTCCATTATGCTAACACTTAATTTTACCAACCACTTTTTTAATTTAAAAATAATTTTGACATAAACCTATTTTCCATAAAAACACGGTGATTGTCATTAATTACGCTATATCCATTAATTCTGTATTGATTGTATCCCATATCGGCCTTTCCATGATTTTGCCAGGGGCTGATAGCAGGCTAACAAGCCTGTGGTTTCCTTTTTAAACATTGGCATGATGCTAATTTTTCCCCTGGTGCTCTGGAATTTCTCCAATTATTCAAAATCTGTTAAGAATTAGTAATAGTGTTTCAGAATGCTCCTCAGATAATTCTTATAATACTGTTTGGTGCAGAATTTAAAATGGTTGACTGCAGTAGTTGTTTAACATTCTCTTGCCACTGCTGAAATAGGACAGGGGTCAGCGACCTATGGCTTGTGGTCCAGATCCAGCCTGCAGAACCATTGGATCTGGCCTGTGGATGTATAGGCAGCTAGAAAAGTTTGCCTGTACCTGAAAAGGAAGTATTTAATTATCACTGTATGGTATGAATAATTGTGCTGCTTCTTTCTAAATGCAGAACATAAAAAACCCAAAGTATTAAATAAATATTTACATCAGGATGACAGTGTTATATTTATCAAGTATTAGATCTGGCTATTACTAAGTTTGCCTTTGTTCCTAATATGTTTGTAAAATACTTTCTTGTTGTTCCTAATTCTAGTGGCCCTAATTTTATTTATTGATGCCTTTATGACAAAGGCTGGCTCTGGGAGATCTAGGAGGAAACCCAGCAAGACTCAACAAAGACAGTAAGAAGATGGTTTTGTGTACTGGAAATAATAAGAAAAATGTGCGTGCAGGTTTGGGCTTGATATGATTTGAGAAATACAGGAGGATAAAAATGGGCAAGATAACTGTGTTTTTTTTTAATGTGAGCTAATCTGTTGCCAGCTAGTATGAAACAGCTAGAATATCCCTCACTAGCCTGGCTGTATTTTGATCAAATGCTTGTCACTGCACTCGTTGTGTCAGTATGGTCATTTATAAGTATTTTAATATTGCTAAATAGTATACTTTTAGTATTTTGGTGTTTAAAGCAGTGGGGGCCAACCTTTTTGCCCAGCATGCCACAAAATTAGCCCCATACCCTCCCCCACACACCTCTCTGATCCCCTTCCTCTGCCCAATCTCTCGGTTTGCTTTCTGCTTTGTGCTTTCTGCTGTGTGTCTGCTGCTGTACTGCATGTCCCCTCCTTGATCTGCCATGTGCTGCAGGTTGGCCACCCCTGATTTAACTGTATAACTCAAGGTGGGGGAGAGGATTATTTGGGCTGGAGGGTCACTTACAGAGTTTTAGTGAGCTTTTGCAGGATGGGAGGAGGAATTGATCCTATTTGGCCCTGACCCAAACCCATTGTCAGGGATGCCAGAGTGGGTGGGCAAGTGTTGGGGTCTCCATAGACACCAGCCAGGACCCCTGTGGGAAGGGCATGCTCAGCTGGATGAATGGGATGGGGCACCAGGCAGGTGGGAAGCAGTGTCCAGGAGTGGGATGGCGGGCAGGGGCAGAGCCATGAACATGGGGCAGTGACAGCGCAGGGCCATGGCCTGGAGCAGAGCTGGGGAATGGATTGCAGCTCTGCATCGGGCTTCAGTCCCATGTTGTCACCGCCCCACAATCCCAGCCCTCCTCTACCTCAAGTCCTACTCCTGAATGCCATGCTCCACCCATAGCCCCATCCCATCTGCCTAACCAACCATGCTCTGTCCACAGAGATCCCAGCTGGTCTCCTTGGAGACCGCCCCCCACTCCCCTTACCTCCTCCATCTGGCCTCCCCAGCGGTGGGTGCAGGGCAGATGGGCCAGGGTGCCTGGGCAGCAGGGCCTGATCCAGTGTCAGCAGCGACACTAGCAGCAGCAGCTAGAAGGAGCTGCTGCCTCTGAAGATGCTGGGAAGTTGAGTCAAGCCACCGTGCTGCCTCAGCCCTGCTGTGTGCCTGGGGATGGTGGGACTGGCTATATGAGCCATGGCCTCAGTTGCCCACCGCAGGCCAGACAGAATTCCTTGGCAGGCCAGATTGGGCCTGCGGGCCATATTTTGCCCACCCCTGGTATAACTGCTATTGGCTTTTGGATTTAGTAAAGGAATTTTAGTTGAATCACTGACATGGTTAATTGAATTTCAGCAGTACTGAACTTACAAAAATTAACCATTCAACAGCCTGCAGTCCCTTCAGCAGTTACAACAATATTTGGAGATATCCATAGATAAGAAGTGAATATAAGAAGTGACAGGCAGAGATAATTAGGTTTGCCGGTTACAAACAGATTTCTGAGAATGTCTTAAAATGGCTCACTGAAGAAAAACAGATGATTGCAGAAACACCGGTATATGAGATGCAAGGGTTTTAAATAATCATTTTTAAAAATCAAAGGTTTGCTTGTTCAGCTCCATTCTCTGAGTACAGCTGCAGAAGAAAGCAGAACTTGAAAAACAAAACGTAGAATACCATAAAAGGTGAAGATAATAGCATAGGGAAGGGCTCATTAAAAGAAAATGAGTCGTGAATAAAGAATGTCATCAGATTAAAATCACAGATGGTACTGGTTTGACAAGCAAGTGCTCTGGGGCAGAGTCCTTTTGCAACAGGTGTGTGTACACTTAGCCTAATGAATGCAAGATTACTTGTGAGATTTCTAGGCACTACCATAAAAGGTAATAATATCAGTAGAATAATAATTTTAATTTATAATAAGAATATATATATTTTTTACATAGAATTGAAAAAAGCTCCCTCTCTGAGAAATGCATGAGGGCATGCACTTCAGAACATCCAGTACAATTCTATCTTACAGGAAGAAATTTTCATCTGATATAAATTAATATAACTCCATTGACCTCAGTGGAACTATTTCAGTTTATATCAGCTGAAACTATCACATAATCTTAACAAACCAAATTTTATTACATTGTTGTAAACACCATTTTTGGGGGGCAAAGATCTTGTTGACTGCAACCATTTTGTTCTCCTGTGGAGTTATTCCAATAGCATGTATTCTATGTACTCTGCTGGCCTGAGAAGTGCAAATAAGTAATAGAAACTGTATTATTATAATAGCAGATACGATTCTGAATATACACAAGCTTGAATCTGTTCCCTAAAACCTTGCCCTTTTTACAAAGTAAAATTACACCTGTTCATGTTCTAGATTTTTATACAAGTAGTATCAGAATACTTTAAAGGTTAAGGTACTGGCACAGGGGTGGGAAAAGTCTGGCCTGTGGCAGACTCCAGGGATTCTAAGGAAACCAGCCTCAGCAGCACTAGCAGGGTATGTGGCTGGATGGAGTGCTGCTCCGGGGCTGGGATCTTGGGGTGCTGATAGTGTGGTCCAGACCCAGGGCAGAGCTGCAATCCATGGCCTGCATGTCATGGCAGCACCACCACTGCTGTAGTGTCCATGGAAACCAGCTACAGCAACATGGGCAGGGGCGGCTGGAAAAGGAGTCCGGCCACCAGCCAGAGCTGCCATTTTGCCCACCGCTGTACTAGCATCCATCAGTTCCTATTTAGGTTGTTGCTGAAGTTCATCTTGTTAAAGTGTCCAGATTTTCACAGAAGTTGCTGTGTGCTGAGCCTATTTGAAGATGTAACCCCTTCATGTAGGTACCTACCTACCTGGGAGCTGAGATTTATCAAGATCTTCTGTATCTTCTAAGCCCTTTTGCAATTCTGCTCCTAAGACTAAGAAAATATCATGCAACATGAAGCTGGGTAAAGGATATGTTAAATGGGAAGATATCATATGTAGATCAGGGAAAATATCTTGTGTTTAAAGAGACAGCATAGTCTGCAGTTACAGCACCAGATGGGAAGTAAAGAAAATACAGCTTTTATTCTAAGGTCTCCCACTTCCTCCATTCCTTTATCTGTAAATTGTGGATAATTTAACCTTTTTTTTATTAAGTATTTTGAGATTCATGGATGAAAGTTTTATATAACCACTAAAGCTCTGATTCTCAACTGTATTTATGTATCTATTTAGAAATATGGGACTATTTAGAAAAGCTGGACATTATAAGTCCATGGGGCCAGATGGGATGCACCAGAGGGTACTGAGGGAGCTGGCTGATGAGATTGGAGAGCCATTGGCCATCATCTTTGAAAACTCATAGCTATCAGGACAGAAGTCCTGGATGACTGGAGAAGGGCAAACATAGTGCTTATGTTTAAGCAAGGGAAAAAGGAGGATCCAGGAACTACAGACCAGTCAGCCTCACCTCAGTCCCTGGAAAAATCATGCAGCAGATCCTCAAGGAATACATATCTAAGGATTTGGAGGAGAAGAAGGTGATTACTGATTAGGAATAGTCAGCATGGATTCACCAAGGGCAAGTCATGCCTGACCAACCTGATTGTCTTCTATGATGAGGTGACTGGCTCTGTGGATGTGGGGAGATCAATATGTGATATACCTTGATTTTAGCAAGGCTTTTGTTACGGTCTCCCACAATATTCTTGCAGGCAAGCTAAGGATGTACGGGCTGGATGAATGGACTGTAAGGTGGACAGAAAACTGGCTGGAGCATTGGACTCCAAGGATAGTAATTAATGGCTTGATGCCTAGCTGACAGCCAGTATCAAGTGGAATGCCTCAGGGGTTAGTCCTTGGGCTAGTTTTGTTCAGTGTCTTCATCAATGACCTGGAAGACAGCATAGAGTGCACCCTCAGCAAGTTTGCAGATCACACCAAGCTGGGGGGAGTAGCAGATACACTGGAACTGGAGGGTAGAGCTAGCTAGGATTTAGAGAGACCTAGACAAATTGGAGGATTGGGCCAAAACCAATCTCATGAGGTTCAACAATGACAAGTGCAAAGTGCTGCACTTAGGATGGAATCATCCCATGCAACAGGGGGGCTGACTGGCTGGGCAGCAGCTCTGCGGAAAAGGACCTGGGGGTTACAGTGGACAATAAGCTGAATAGAGCCAGCCATGTGCCCTTGTTGTGAAGAAGGCCAGTGACATACTGGGCTGCATTAGTAAGAGTGTTGCCAGCAGGTCAAGGGAAGTTATTATTCCCCTCTCTTTGGCACTGGTGAGACCACATCTGGACTACTGTGTTCAGGCTTGGGCCCCCGACTCCAGAAAGGATGTGGACAAATTGGAAAGAGTCCAGTGGAGGGCAACAAGATTGATTGCAACTGCAAGACTTCTCCAGTAATCTCTCGTAGTTGAGGATGATTGTCTTCCATGATTATCTTATCTGTGTCTAAAAATGGCTGACGAGGCCTATCTGGGATTGACAGACTCTACTGAAACTCAGACATGTTTCCATGTATGGTGTGTGGCACTGGATTCTTGATTTGGTCCATGACACAGTTTCTCCTGCTCCTGCTTTTCTATTTCCTGTTGTTGTCATGAGGTTTCAAAGTACCGAGATCCCTGCAGCAGACACTGCCCCTGAGCAATAATATCCCATGAGTTAATGTTGTTGCATCTTTTTAAGTTGGCCTTGAGGACATCCCTGAAGCACTTTCTCTGCCCTCCCCTTGCATGTATGCCATGGCTGAGCTGGAAGAATAAACTTACTTTGGGAGTCTGGAGTCAGATAGGAGTTGGAGTAACTAAAATAAGAGAGGGCATCTTTAAGAATATAGTATGCAGAGAGATTGAAAAGATTAGAACTATTAGGAAGAAAACTGTGAAGGGAACCTGTCTGTTATACAAAATAGTGAAAAAGGAATGGAAAATGGGTGCCTCTTTTCACTCGTTCTCATATATTATAAAGAATCAAATTTCTTTATCTGTCTCCTGCCAGTCTGCCACAGCCTTGCTATAGAAGGATTTAATCTGTGTGAAAGAAGTACTTTTAATATTAGTACTGGGAAGGACTGAATGCTATAAGAGAGTGTTCTGAGAATTAATCCATTGTAGACAAATGGATTTAGGAATGAGTTAATTAGGTAGTGGACAGATATAAACCATAAAAAGCGGTTGTATGTTTGGTTTCTGATAAGATGGGAAACAATGGCAAATGCAGAACCTTGTAATGAAAACCTTTTATTACCCTAACCTACAGCCTCACTTATGTAATTCAGCTTCCCTGTCCATTCTGGGCCTTGCCTCTCAGCTGATACTATATATAGCTTTAAAAAATATTGTGACCAGAGAAAGAAGCCAACTCTGACAGTGTTTTTGTGCTATAGCCACTTCTAAGCTATAGACTAGACATAATCAACATTTTATCTAACATAAGGTCACTAACCAGCTGTCACAGGAATATAAATTTTAGTATTAACCAGAGCTGGACTGAAATTAGCAAACAAACCATGGAGACTCTATACCCTATTCTTAACAGTTTTCTGAGCCATCAAGTCCCCATGGGCATTCTGTGTGAAAGAAGCATACAGCAAAGACATGAGGGAAAACATAAGTAGGAACTGAGTATTAATGTGGCTTGATAATAGTGGAGCATAACAGTAGTTATAACTAGAAAAGCAGGCCTGCTGGGTACATTTTGCATTTATGTCATGACTTGGAAATAGGATTGGACCTTGTCTGTTTAATACATATATATTGGTTTAAGAGGAAAGATTTTTCTCATTTATGATTGAGGGGTTTACAAAAAGTGATTTGTTACATAAACAGACCGCATTATCAGGATGGGTCCCTAATAAAAATGACCAAACTAAATTATGCAACATAAATAAGATGTAGGCAAGTTCAAGGAAACACTATTTATACCACCGATCTTAGGAGGCCTACAAAAACTGTTTGCAAAGTTTCGTAAGATGGGGCAAAGACAAATATTTCTTTATTGGGGTAGTCGTATAAACACCTTTCACATTAAGAAGTTTCCTGAAGTCACAGATAGTAAAACTGAAGTTTACCAATAACAAAACAAAATCCACAGCCACTCAGAGCTTCTCATCATTATGCTCCCCATCAACAAGTCTTTTGGGACTTCATAACCCAGCAGGTTCCATCCATCAGAGGGCGGTGATGTGCCACCCTAGCCTGCCTTCTGCTTCATAGAAATACATGACCTTTAATAGAAAATCTGTTAACATGCTGACTTATGCACACAGACAGTCTGAGATAACAGAAGTAAAAGACCTGATTTTGCTACTCTTATGTTGAATAGTATTTTACTAGGTAAGTTTATTTTCTTTGCTTGGATAGCTAGGTGCCTTTTACTGATATGCAGTGGGCTACAGCTTCATCCCAAATTGAATTGACATTAGCAGTGAGCTTTTGACAATATAATACATCTGAGACAGGCAAAGCAACCATCAGGTCTCAATCAAGTCAGCAAAAAAAAAATCTGGCTGATCTGGTATTAATGGCGAGCTTTGCACAGCAGGAAAAGATCCATCCCTGTGAACCATGTATCTGAAGCATGCCTGCCATCATTTGATCAACACCACAAATCCACAAGCCTGGCAGTGTGCCATATATCTCCATTACATACAGTCATACCAATTTGTACCCAACAAACATAGTACTTCATGCAATTTTTCAAGCCAGAGTCATTTTTCAGCAGTGTCCACATTTTAGATCGACAAAACAGGTTAGACACAGGTTTATTAGATGCTGATTTTTGTGCCAGCTCAGTTTACACTGGTACTACACCTTCAGCAGCGCATTGCAGTCGCAGCAAGGGCAATGGAGCCGTCTCAGGGTTGCAGACTGACAAGTTATGGGAGAGGCCCCCCTCTTGGGTTTTGTTCACTTTGGGGGCACTTGTAAGTACTTTGGGTGGTTTTGCTCCATTTTGTCCTTTTTCTGTGTTGCTCTCACCTAGAATCACTTACGTTACCGTGACTGAAAGCACCAACGCTTGGAGCAGCGGTTCTTGAGCTTACGGGACTTGAGGCCCCCTCCAAAGCTTCTGTGAATGGAGTGGCAGCCAATTTCAAAAACTAATTTCTAGATGTCGGTGCTCCCGTCCAGGCAGTGGGGATGGAGGATTGTCCAGACAGGGACAAACCTGATCCTGCGTTTATCTGCTTATCTCCTCGTGGCCCCCCTTCACAAGCTCTGGCGGGGTCCCCGGGCGCCCCGCTGCCTCAGCGGTTTGTTGCTGCAGCTTTAAGCGCCACGAAAGATGAAACTCGCTCTCGCTCGCCTCGACCCTGCAGCTGCGATACAGGAACCAGGGCGCAGCGGGCTCCGCTGCAGGGGAAGCGCCTCGGAGCCCCAGAGCAGGACACATTCCCACCCGTCCGAGCGCGAGCGGCTCCAGCCGCGACGTGTAGCAGCGCGCGCAAGCGCAATAGGGTGCGTGTAGGCCTAAGGGCCATAATAGGCGTGTGCGCATGCGCGGAGACGCAGGCGCAGAGCATGGTGCAGGCGCAGTGGGGCTGGCGGGGTTGCTGGCGCCTCTTCCCCTTTAAGCGGGTTGTTTAGTGTCCTCCGTCAGGCGGCGGTGGGGCCTGGCGGGCTGGGCTGCCTCAGCGCTGCAGTCTCCCGCGCGAGCAGCATGGCGGGCTGGGGCCGGGACGGGGACGTGGCCTTCGGGACCGGGCCCGGCGCCTCGGGCCGCGGCGGCGCCAGCGACGGGCGCATCTACGTGGGGAACCTGCCGGCCGACGTGCGCGAGCGGGACCTGGCCGAGCTCTTCTACAAGC